ATATATGTTGTGGAATTTGAAGGTGAACCACTTCTCTAGACTTGTAGGTAGTTGTCTGGCAGATTTGGCTATCGCCATGTGCTAAAAGCTATTCTTGCAGAGTATTCAGTAATTTGTGGCTCGTTTTCTTATTTGTTCTCATGTGAAATTGTATGTCTTTAGAAAAACTATTTAATAAAGAATACAATTGTAAATAAGAATATAATTTAGGAGTCCTATTAGGAATTGGAATATGAATCCTATTAGGAAAAGAATATCTCATATCCTACCCATAAATATAAGGTTGAGAGCCAATTCAAGGTTATGAGACAATGTGAGAACTCAGGGTAGTTGATGTAAGGGTTATTTAACACCATGGGGAGAGTATCTTAGAATTGGGATTGTTTCCACTCTAGGTACTGGGTTGAGCGTGGTTTGAAACCAGGATGTTTCCACTCTGTTTTATGTACTGGGTTTATAGTGTTGTGTACCTTTGTATATCGTGTTCATAAAACTATAGTGGATTTCTCTCATCCGTGGATGTAGGCGGATTAAGCTGAACCCCGTAAATATCGTGTCTCTTTATGTGGTGTGATTTTATTCCTATGTTATTTATCTCGAATGTATGTTTTCCGCTGCGCGATCTCCTAACACAGTCTCTCCTTCGAGGCCTTTGAAAATCATCTACATCTAGTCAGATGTATCCCACATCTTTGGTATGTAACCCACATTATGAACAAATTTCAGTTTGATAAACATCAGATTGGAGTGACAATCAGGAATGGGAATAGCAATATTTATTAGCATCACTGTAGATTAATAAAATTTTACAAACTCAACCAATAATTTCTAGGGAGCCTCATATGGCATTTATATTGTTTGAAATAATATAATTTAATGACATTTATATTGTTTTACATGATATAACTTTGACCGTTGAAGTCTCTTTGTTTTAAATCCATTGCAAAAATCTCTATAAAACCTCATATGGGTTCTTTATTGTTTGTCATGATTCATATCTAACTGTGATATTGAAGGCCCTTTGTTATAAATATGCAGTGCAACTGTTTTTGGAGTTTCCACAGAATCTATGCAGTTGTCATACGATTCCAGAGGGAACAGTGTGCCAACAATATTGCTACTAATGCAAAGACACTTGTATGGTCGAGGAGGCTTGCAGGTATCTCACATTGTTTTCTTTTCTTTTCCTCCATATATTTCTACATTTATTATGGTACTTGGACATATTTTGTTCATTAAGTGTTTACTGTTAGGATCCCACATTGGAAGGGAAAATGGTGGGCATGTGGGTTATAAAGGGCTTGGACACTCTCTTTTGGCAAGCCGGTTTTTCAAAGAGAGTTCTACCCAAACTCACAAAAGGCCCACTGTTTGGCCCAATTGTTTGAGTTGTTAGATGGGTCTCTATCAAACGGTATTAGAGTCAAACCCCGCCCGAGCCCATGTTCTGGAAGGGGCGACCTGGGAAAGGGCTACCTAAGAAGGGGCGACCTTTGAGAGTAGGCCACTCAAAGTGAAGCCGTCTAGAGTGGGCTAACGATGTTTTGTAAAGGGCTACTTGGGAAGGTGCGACCTTAGAGATTAGGCCACCCAAAGTGAAGCCATCCAGAGTGGGCCAACATGGACGTTGGGTCTCAAAGCATGAGGGAATGTTAGAATCCTACATTGGAAGGGAAAAGAGTGGGCATGTGGGTTATAAAGGGCTTGGACATCCTCTCTTGGCAAGCCGGTTTTCCAAGGAGAATTCTACCTAAACTCACAAAAGGCTCACTGCCCAACCCAATTGGTTGAGTTGTTAGATGGGTCTCTATCATTTACTGTGTGCTGTCTTACCATTGTGGTACTGGTGGGGGCTTGTTTAAATTGCTATCAAATTTTTTATTTTATCTTATTGTTTTTGTTGTTGTCATCGTTGTTATGATTATTATTTTGGCTTTCTTTATTTTTAAACCTTTGAATTCATGAATCCAGTTAGAAGGGATTTTCAGAATAAATGCAGAAAATAGTCAGGAGGAGTATGTGAGGGACCAATTAAATAGTGGAGTGATACCAGATGGTGTTGATGTGCACTGTTTGGCAGGACTTATCAAGGTATCCAGTAACCTCTTTTGACTCCTTTTTTTTACATTCATCATGCTTTATGTTCTTCTGTGAATCATGGTTCAAATATATTTGTCATCATGCCCCTATCATGAGGATTACTGGTTTGACTTCTTTGTTTCATTTTCATACATATGCACTCATGTAGTGTCAAAAATGGAACTGAGATGGTTTCCTGAAATGGTACTTGTATTAATCTAAAACTTGCTTTTTTGGTGGAGGAACCTCACTACGCTGTACTTTAACTTTTCTTCTGTGCTATTGCTTCATAACGTTTTTGACCTGGCTTAATCTCATTCATATTCATGGAATAGAAAATATACTGCATTGCAGTCAGTTATCACAGCTGAAATTATGTTTTGTCTACTATAGGCTGATTACTAAAACATCCTATCTGTTAAGTCCTGCCCATTGGTGTTTAATCTGAAAGCCTAATAGGTATCTTGTATTTAGAATTTCTCTCGCCTCGGTTTTCGATCCTTACTAAAACTCCAAAGTGAAGCATCTTCCTAACTTCAGCTGCCAGTTTCCTCTGTGGTTCTCATGGTTGATATGTATCAGGAATGTGATTCGGGCATATATCATATTTGACTCCATGCATAGGTCCCTTCTATAAAATATGGCATCAGAAATGGAAAATTAATTATTAACTTTTACTTTATCAAGTACCAAATGGTCATTTTGGAACCCCAGGAGATGGTCTCCTCCACATTACATGTATTTATCTTAGCACTTGTTTGATGGAGGAACCTCCAGTAGGTGGTGGGTATAGTTTTGTTTTTACTTTTGTGAATTTTTGTTTAATAGAAAATACTCTACATTGAGGTCAGTGATCACTGCATAAACTATGTTTTGTTTATTCCAGACTGATTACTGGACAACAGTCCTGCTCATTACATGGTTAACCCCATCGATGAATAAGATGGAAGCTTAATAATCCTTAATGTTTAATGTTGCTGCTTGGATTACCATTCAGTAATCCTGTTAGTATCTTTACATCACATGAGACAACCAACAGTAGTGAAACCAAGTTTTGCATAGGATATATAATGTATTGCATTTAGAATTTCTCTCACTTGGTTTTTTAATTCGTACTAGAACTGAGAAGCTTGAAGAACTATCTGAAATTAGTGTTTTTCTCACCTTGTTGGTCTAGAAGTTTGGTGTGAACGTATCTTTCCATCTTCAGATAGCGACTTTCTTTGTGATTTTCAAGGTTGGCATGCTTGAGGACCATGAGTTGGCAAATATCATAGACTCATTTGTAGCCAGAGCATGATAAAATGTCACGATAAAATGTCACTAAATTCCAACCTCTAACCTTGAACTTCACCCGTATTGCCATTGTTATGTGAGTAATGCCATGCATACGAAGTTTTATTTGAAATTTCTCATCTCAGCTCATGTGTCACCTATAAAGCATTTCTGTGTTGCAATATCAGCTCATCATTTACATATTAGGACCACAGATAAATACACCTCATTTGAGATAAAAAATTTGGCTTGTAATAACATATTTTATATACCAGAATTACGGTTGCCCTTGATTCCATTTAGACATTATTGATTCTAAAAAGAATCAGCTCAAGGTGCACATGACAAGAACTTGTTTTAGGCAATTCCATGTCTGAAGGGAAAATAAATTCTTTGTTGTGAGGATGCCTGATTTTCCTCTTCTTCTTGTGCAATCAAGTGCATTCCATAAAGTTGCAGGACAATTATCTTGTTTCCAAATTGGACTTCTCTCATTTTGCATCCAATGTAATATATTGACTTGATTATGTTTTATATCTTAGGCTTGGTTTAGAGAACTGCCAATTGGGGTTCTGGATTCTTTATCACCTGAGCAGGTAATGCGATGCCAGACAGAAGAGGACTGCATTGAGCTTGTGAGGCTTCTACCCCCAACAGAAGCTGCTCTATTGGATTGGGCTATCAATCTGATGGCTGATGTTGTGCAACTAGAACATCTAAACAAGATGAATGCACGCAACATAGCAATGGTTTTTGCACCAAATATGACTCAGGTGAGTTTTCATATGTTAGAGAATTGTAATGATAAAGGCACATTCAATAATTTCTGGTTCAAAGATGCATCATTGACTCTGAACAACCCCCAAAACCAAAAAACAGAAAAGAAAAATCCTTGGGCAGAACTGGAAAAAAAAAAAAAAAGCCACTATATACAGTGCCAGGATCTGATTTGGATATGTTAGGTTTTGCTTGGCATGTGTAATGAAGTCCCGCATTCTCTACTTGTTCACACCAGGTGCATATCTAGGTTTTGAAGGCCATCTTATCTATGTATTTTGTTGGAATTTCTGTTAGCTATGTGTGTGCTAAAATGCCATGTAATAAGGATAACAACTAATAAATTTTGGTCCGAAACTCTGATTCTTCTTTGCTGATCATGAATTCTCAGATTATTCTTTGCTGATCATGAATTCTCTCTCCCTAATTTCGACAGAGAAGTTGTTCAAGTTATTTTTAATTATGTTTCCTATGGAAATGCAGATGACGGATGCCAATTTCTGGTCAAATAATAGTTTCTTTACTTTATTTTTTATTGCAGATGGCGGACCCCTTGACTGCATTGATGTATGCAGTTCAAGTGATGAACTTCCTTAAGACACTTATATTGAGAACATTGCGGGAAAGAGGAGATTCTGTTGTAGAGCAGAGTCCAGTTTCACATTTGGAGCCTTTTGATGAGAATGGACACCAGAGCCCTTCAGAATCCTGTGTGCAAGTTGCTGAAAGAGATGGTGAAGAGATTGAGCAAGCCTTCATTGCTGAGGAACCTGTCATAGAAGGTTCCACAAACTTTGGCCAGAAGAATGAGATAACTGATGGAGAAGATCACGGTCCTGTAACCTATGTCGAGAAATTAACTGCTGATAACGAGCAGTCTCATCAGACTCCAGCTCAAGTTGACACCTTAACTTGTGAAACAGGTGCTTGTGAATTCAATGGTCGAAAAGCGGGTCTTCAGGCAAAAACTGGAAAGTCCATGATTGGCCAGTCAAGTGAATCAAATCTTAAAAGAGGCCCCAGAAGATTTGACAGGCAACAGAGTGTGCTTGGCATACCAGGAACTGCTGAAAAGACTAAGGGAATCAGCAATCTGAGCTGTATAGATTCGAGGACAGAGCGTATTGAAGCTTGGCGATGAAAAAGGCTCATCTTCAGTTATAAACCAACTGATCCTATGACAAAGTGACACTCAAAGTTTGCAACATGTGAGGGGAAGTTTGTGAATTGTCTTGTATGTTTTCAGTGTGCTTGGTGGTTGCTTAACCTATTCTAGTTTGACTGATACTATACTTCCATGGTATGACTAACATTCTCTGCTTTTATGTCTACCATTTACTTGACATTGGAATTTCATTGATGTGGTTTCTTGTATTTATTTTCATTATTGCATGACTATTATATTTCCTTCTGTTTCTTTTCTTTTCTTTTTCCTTTACGGGCATTGGTAAGAACTAGAACTCTTGAACATCCCATACTTTACTATGTTACAAGCCCTATAATGTTAGAGAAACAACTTTTTCTTTTGGGTAACTTGGAAAATTATACTCTTAACATAAACTGTTAGATTCGATTATATGTTACAAGCCCTTCATGTAAAAAATTTGTTTTTGATAGCATTATCTTTATAGCATGGAAGCTTTAGAGATGTTGATAACATGCTAAACTTAGCTTGGTTGTCTTTTCATGAAAACCTGACTTTGATTCATGTGAGTTACATTGTCTGATTTTTCCTCAATTTTTTGTATTTCTTCATAAATTGTGAGGATAGCTAATGGGCAAGTGGTGGTATACTGATACATGTATGTATAGGGACCACAAAGAAGATGATAAAAGGAAAAAAAATAAAATAAAATAAGTAATAATATGAAAGTAGATAGAAAGTGGTAGTGATAAGGAGGTTCATCTGGTGATGGTTTGCAACAATATCTTGTTTATACATATTTAGATTGGGATAAACATAGAACACTGAAAATGAATGATAGTAACCATTCATTTTGCCCAAAAAGGAGTGGACATGTTAAAATGGATCCATGAGAATATTACTTGAATGCAATGGTGCTATGCTATTTATTGCCAATGAAAAATTACGGTCATTGAATTGAATACCAGATATAATAACTTGGTTGTGCTTCACTCGCTTCTCTGAAACCCCTTTTGCACCCAAATATTTTACTGCCATGACCATGACTCTCCATAGCTCAGGAACTCAACAAGTCACAGTTATATGAAAAACTATGTTTTGAGGAAGAAGAAAGGGGAAATGGGAAATTTAAATGCAAAGTGAATAAGATTAGGTTGGTTGGAAATGTGATAATGTAAAATAGCTAAAATTAGATGATATGCCCAGTTGATAAACAGTTAGTTTATAGAACAGAAAATGAATTGAAAGAATTGTTAAGAAAGGTTTGTAATGTTTTGGCAATCACATCAATATCTCTGGACGCCACCACCCAACGAACTCTTGGCATCTTTTCGTTGGAGCTAACAAAAATCTCCTTCTCAATGGTTTTGACTCACCCTTTCATTGAACAGCTACTGATGTCACATTATCCCTTGTGAACTGTCAGATTGTTCTCATTTCTTTTTGAAAACATAATCTGACGGTTAAAAGAAGTTTGATAATTAATCGGTAATCTAACAGCACATAAAGAGGTAACATTACCTTTGAACTTTTTACAGCTAATCCCTTTCTGTTTTTCTTAAATATTGAGCCCTTAAAAAAGTTAAAATGTTAAACCTATAACCATAAAATATAACATTGGGTTTGCTTTATTTTCCCTTTGGAAGATATTGTGAAATGTAAAAATATGAATGGATTAGCAATAGGATATTACAAGTTTGACATAAAGAAGAAATATATATTAGTATAGTAAGTTTGTAAGACAGGAAAAAACAAAAAAGAAAGAATAAGGTAAAGGTAGGGGCGAAAATGAAAATATTAGTAAAATAGAGTGGAGTCCAGCCATAAAATGAGAGATTAAATCTGCTGAAATGGTGTTAGAAAAGATGAAAAAATAATAACCACTAGAAATGAGACATAGCTGCATTCATAACCACCAATCTCTATTCAACTCAAAACCAAAATCAAGAAATCAGAAACAGCAACCGTCCCATTAATAGCACCTTCCTCTTGATTTTTTCAAACCCATGCTCCCATGCCCATCTCGTGCTGCTTCTGTTTCTTTCTCTCATCACTCTGATCTCCCTCTTCTGTCCTCACCAACAATATTACTTAACCTCCCCCCTCTCTTTCGTAATTTACCATCATTCAACACTAACAGAATGCTGGATACACAAAACATTGCAGCTGCTTGTGACAGCCTCCACCAACACATCTTTGAAAACTCTTTACCAGAAAAACCATCTTTACTTAATTCCTTCTCTCCATGGAACCAAATCAAACCTGACAAATCCTCCTTCATTGAAATGTTCGGTGAACTTCATTTCAAAGAAACTCCTTCACCCTCTTCCTCTTCCTCCACCACCACCACTTCCTCCTCCTCAGCTCCTTCCTTTCCCATGTCATCTTCTTCATCTTTTCTTGATATATACCCACAACCACATCATAATAATTCTGGCTATCTCGACGATGGGAACAAGAAGAGCCCCTCGTCACTCGATTTATTCTCTAACACCCCAAACATCAAATACACCAGTTGTCACACCAAAAGTGACAGCTTTTCATCGATGAATTCTGAAAGCTTGCAGCTATGTACAGAGGGGCTTGGTTTTGAAAGCTCTGATGATGTTGAGGACTTAAAGAGTGAGATAAGTGAAGATTGGCAGACGCAGCAGGAGAAAGTAAGTATTGCAAAGCATTCTCCAACTGAGAATCTATGCACTGAATTCAGAAGGTCAAAAACATGTGGTGGAGCATTCCCTCCTCCGATTTCTTGTATAGGGAAGAGCGGTAAGCCTTGGGTTTGCTTCAAGTCTTACAGGCATGATGGCAGATTTGTCCTTAAGGAGATAAGGATGCCAAGCCAAGAATTTTTGCATGCATGCAGAGAAGATGGGCGTCTAAAGCTGCAGTTTGTTCAGCCAAATGATGATATCCTGGAACTTGAAGAAGAGGATTTCGAGGAAGATGAAGGGTTTGAAGATGTAGAAGTAGATGTGGAAGAGGAAGAGGAAGAGGAAGAGGACAATGAAAGCTTCGATGACGTTGAAGAAGAGAAAAGGACGACCGACAACAGAAGAAATGAAGTTGGAAAAGATTCGCTATAGGTAGAAAAATTCAAGGGCAGACGTTCCTTTTCTGCTTTTCTTTCCGAAGGGATTTGCAAATAAGTAGACAACAGAAGAAATGAAATCAACTTTGCTGCTCATAGAATAGTCTGTCTTCCTTCTCACCACTCAGAAAAAAAAAAAAAAAAAGATTTTTTAAATCAAATCAAGTCCAGCTTATCACATCTTCTTTACATTTTGCAATCACAGGGCATTGTTACATGCTAAATAATTCCATTCAGTCAAAGCACTTCCTCTGGCAAGTATATAGAATGAGAACATAAGAAAATTAGTGATTTCCTACTGACATGCTTCTATTAATTTCCTTATTGCCAGCATGCGAGATCTCATCTACCAAAGTTCCAAATGCATAAAAGATAAATAACCAACATCTAACCTAAAGGTGATATGAGGATTATACCCATTATTAAATCAAATATGACAAAAAAAGGGAGTAAAACATCACGCATGGCTTCCATCAATATGTCAAGTTCCAATAAATAAAATCACAGAATAATACTGGATTATAATTTTTTTCAACAAATGGATTTTGGGTGCCTAGAGCATCATGCATATAATTGTAGCCATTAAAAAAAAAATCCAGAAATGAAGACAAGGAAATCAAAGAACGGTCTTAGTAGAGACAGTAAACAAGTGCATAAGATACCTAAGATGAAGCAAAACAAGAAAACAAATTATTAATTTTTTGCTTTTAAGATTAGAGACAACATGTTGAAAACGAAATCAATGAAGTGCCTTTGGTAAAGCTTTTTCTTTTCTTTTTGGTGGAAATATAACAAAAACATATCTTTATTATTTAGTTATTATATTCTTAAATAAATTTAATAATAAACAGTTACTAATATTACAAAAAAATATTGTAAATAGAGGAAACAGCTAAAAGCTATTTCCACAGCTTTGAAAAATAAAAAGAAAAGAAAAGAATTTAGCTCTAATAAATGAAAACAATATTTTGTATTATATGAAAACAAAATAAAAATAAAAAAGTGCCAGACAAGTAATTGGCATTTTACAAAGAGAGAAAACAGATAAATAGAAAATAAAAACAGAACCAAGCAGCAGCTTAGATTTTTGTAAGTGAGAGTTTCCGGAGACCATTGGTCAGAAAAGAGTGGCGCCTAGTAAAGATTAGGTAAAGTGACTCCAAAGTCTTAAAACACTTAACGTCACGTGACTTGAAAGGCATGGTACTCACTATTTCAACCATGACATTTGAAACTACCACCTACGGAGATTTTGCTTACACATGTCGTACCCTAAAACACATGATCACCGTGGTCCTCTATCCACCTGTAGCTAAATTACAATTTATCACCTTTCTCAGAACCACAAAATGGATACATATATATCAAACTAAACCATAAAAAGCAATCAATAAATATATCTCCAAGGTGAGGATCCTCATAGTACACCCTAGACTTGACACATAGATAGGGAACCATTTCTACTGTTATTTCGGCAAAATGTCATGTCCTGTGTAAAACGAAAGGTTATAGTTTGGCAATGGATACCCACCAGCCAAAAGGAAAAGAGAAAGCAAATAAGAACAAACCGACGCTAACCCCATATAATTCAAGACTTACAGTTTATGGTCCAGAAAAGATTTTTTAGCAAGCTTGTTTTACATGAAAAGTAATTGGAATCTAACTCTAGACTTTAAGGAAATGCTAAGTGAATAAAAGAGAGATTTATGGATATCAAAAAAAGAGAGATAGGTATCATCTATACTTGATGATGACATAAGGAGATATCAATGATATACTGAGGGTATGGCTCCCAACTACTTGGGACTTAAAGATGTTTAACACGTGACCTCTACTTCTGACATCAGAATGACTGTCAACTACATTGGTATGGTTTTGTGCAAGGTGGACAGAATCACTGGAATTTAGGAATTCACCAAGTTCACTATCGACGCACGCAATAAAGTTTATCAACTATATAGGTTACCGTTACTGGTTAACAGTAAAGACAAATCGATGCACATACTTTCAGTTTCTAAAAGAGTTGAGCAATCCCACCAAACAACAAAGAACTACAACTTTTTCGTATAAATGATGACGACATAAGATGATTACACAAGAGAAGACTCCGACAACAGACTACTTGATGAACAACTTGTATCTCAAATGAATGGCTTGCAATAGAACACGGGGACAGAAAATCATGGAATGATTTTGAACTGGACATCAAAAGGCAGAAGGTGAAAATAATACACTTTGGAGTTTGGACCACTTCCTGAGACCACATTATTCAGTCTAAATATTTGGATCACATTATGTTGGTATAGAAGAGAGAGACCAGCTAGAGTGCCACTGATAGAAGAAGAGAGAGACTAGCTAGAGTGCCACTGATAGAACACTGACCTGTAATTCACCAAATAACACAAGAAAAATCTATCTAATACCAATTCACAATCAATAATCACAGTCAAGAAAAGGAAATAACTCTCTATATTGACGTTAAAATAGATCAGTACATCCAGAGATCATGTTCTATCATCTACCCAATAAACAAGCAACAAATAGGAGCAATTCTAAGTACAGCAAAGAAAAATAAATATAAGACTGAACTTTGAGGGTCAGTTACCTCCCCTTCCACACCTCAACCTTCTTTTCTGAATATGCTCAATTCCTTCTCTCCCTCACTTTTATTCCCTGACACCTTTTTGCTCCTAACTGAATTCTTCTTCCATCCAATCTCATTAGGCCACATGTCCTCCCAAAAACAAGTCCTAACCTCATGCATAACAAATATTCCTCTACTTCTCACCTCAACCCTTCCTACTGTAGACCAGCCTCCCAAGTTGCTCATCATTAACCCCAAGGAGAACCACCTTGTCCTCAAGGTGGAAGGAAGGAAATTGAGAGTGGATTGTGTCAAAATCCTCCCAAGTGTTTTCATAAGGAGGTAAGCCTTTCCATTGAATTAGTACCTCCCATTGTCCATTCAAGAGCTTTCTTTTCTTGAGTACAGTTTCAGGTTCAATTTGCAAAATACAATCTTCATTGAGGGCTGCCAGTAGGGGTTGGCTATTGGGGAGTGGGGAAGTTGCCTTCTTCAATTACGAAACATGGAAAACGTCATAAATACGAGTTGAGGAAGGTAATGCCAGCCTGTATGCTACTGCCCCAATTCTGTCCGTGATCACAAATGGACCGTAAAACCGCGGACTAAGTTTCTCATTATACCGACGAGCTTAAGATCTTAATCTGTAAGGCTGTAACTTCAAATACACAGATTCCCCTATCTCAGACGTAACTTCTCGCCGTCGATTATCAGCATAAGTCTTTATTCGGTTTTGAGCCTTGAGGAGATTCTCCTTTAACTCGTCGATGATATTGTTGCGATGCCGGAGTTGTTAGCCAACTTCTTTGATTGAGGAAGTGTGGTCAGCATACTTCAACACCGTTGGAGGGTCGCGTCCATAGAGAGCCTTAAATGGACACATACCTGTGGAGCTACTATAAGTTGTGTTGAACCAAAACTCCGCCCACGGAACCCATCTCAGCCATTAATAGAGCAGTGAGTGGAAGGGCCATCTTTCCATAATCTCGAACAAATCGTCGATAATATCCCATCAAACCAAGAAAGCCTCTGAGTGCCCTGATGTCCCTTGGTTCCGACCATTTAGTAATGCTCTCTATCTTTGAGGGGTCAACCGCTACTCCTTTTGCTGAGACCACATGCCCCAAATACTCTAACTATTGCTGCCCGAAATGGAATTTCTTCTTATTGACCACCAACTGATTATCTAATAGTGTTTTTAAGATAATGCTTAGATACCTTGCATGCTCGCCCATCTCCTTATTGTAAATCAGTATGTCGTCAAAGAAAACTAACAAAAACTTCCTTAAATACGGCTTGAAGACATCATTCATTACTGCTTGAAAGGTGGTTGGTGCATTGGTTAGGCTGAAGGGCATAACCAGAAATTCAGAAATTCATAGTGCCCTTCATGTGTTCAGAAAGCTGTTTTGTGTGTGTCCTCTGGTTTAACTCTGATTTGATGATAGCTTGACTTCAAATCAAGCTTAGAAAACACCGTTGCCCCTTCTAACTCATCAAATAACTCGTCGATAGCTGGAATCGGGAATTTTTCTGGAACTATCACCTTGTTAACTGCCCTATAATCCACAAAGAATCTCCACCCTCCATCCTTCTTCTTGACTAATAAAATAGACCTTGAGCATGGACTTATGCTCAACTTTATAATCCTAGAGGCCAACATTTCTTTGACAATACGATCTATCTCATTTTTCTGATAGTAAGGGTACCTATACGGTCTAAGGTTTGGTGGTTGAGTTCCTGGAACTAATTGAATGGTGTGGTCTCTCGATCTGGCAGATGGTAATCCTGGAAATGGATTAAAAAATTGACTAAATTGCTCCAACACATCCAGCAATCGATCATCAATATCCCCATTTCCATCACATTGTGTCTGAATCTGTCCAAACTCTATCAAACAACCCTACCCTTCACGTTGCAATGCCCTAATCATAGCTTTGAGAGACACCATGGTTTTGTTAAGTGATGGATCTCCACACAAACTAACTGTCTGATCTCCCAATTTAAACCTCATTGTTTGCTTTCTCCGATTAGTGACTGTCTCACCTAAAGTCACCAGCCATGCAATTCCTAGAACAGCATCAACACTACTCATGTCAAATGGAAAGAAGTTTTGAACAATGGTAACACCTTGTAACTCCATACAAACATCTCTACACTCTCATTCACACCTCACGCTATACCCATCACCCACTCTAACCCCAAAAGACTGAGTTCCTACTACCGATATCCCCAGCCTTTTAACCACCTCAGAACTGATAAAATTGTGGGAAGCCCCACTATCAATCAATACAATCAACTCCTTACCTTTGATTCTTCCTTTAAGCTTCATTGTCTTTGGACCATTGATCCTCACCACCAAGTTGAGAGAGAGTTCGACATTTTCTTCTTGTTGCTCGATTTTAGGTTCAACTATTTCTCCACCACCAATCGATTCTGGTTCACCTTCCTCTCCATCAATTAAGATGATTTGGAATTGTTTTTCACCACACTTGTGTCCAGGAAAGAATTTACCATCGTAGCTAAAACAAAGGCTCTTCTCTCTTTTCTTTTGGATTTCTGCATCTGTCATCCGTCTGAATGGGAACTCTTTTCGTTGAAAAGATGGTTGCTGAAAGGGTCAAAAAGAGGACAGTGGTTGGTCGTAAGGAAAGTAATTGGTCGACGAACTCTGTATTGAGGATTCATGTGTTCGTCGATTGTAATTGGAAACAGGGGTCGATTTTAGGGATTCTAGTGAATTTGGGAATTTTGAGTTGTCATTGGGTCGGGCCAGATTTCTGGATCCATGGGTGTTGAACCCGTATGAAAGTCCAGGTCCATTCATGCGGGCAAACTTAGTTGCTCCTAATCGAGCTTCCTCTAAGGCCTGATTTCTCTCCTCTATTCTTTGGGCCACTTCAATTATTTGAATTAAAGAGTTGGGTTGGGCTAAACGAACTTTAGCTCTGATCTCAACTTTTAGCCCATTAACAAAAGCAGCCTATAATACCTCTTCCTTCTCCTCAACCAAAAGTGCAGCCACCGCTTCAAACTGCCAACGAAATTCAGCCATTGAACCAGTCTGTCTCATCGCCATTAAGGACTCATAAGGATTATGTTCCTGTGATCCGCTAAACCTCTAGAGTAGTGCAAGTTTAAACATGGCCCACGAACTTGTCGGAGTTCTGGATTCAGTCCACTGGAACCAGTTGATGGCCTCAACTTCCATACAAACGGCCGCCGCTGTCAGTTTCCCTTGCTCAGATATTTCGTTAAGGTTGAAGTAATGCTCTACTCTAAAAATCCATCCGTAAGGGTCCTCGCCGGAAAATATTGGCATTTCCAATTTTCGTCCTCCCATTTCACTGCGATTTTGGTTACTGTCACCAAACTCGTTAGCTCCATTAGGATTTTCTACTTGGTGAGAGTGAACATTTCCCGATGAGCGCATCTCCGTTCTGCCAGCTTCTTCGTCCTTTCTTCGCACCCAGGATTGTATCTCTACCAAACATTCTCGGATAGTACCCATTTCAAACCCTAACTTTGTAACCTATTTCTCAACATTATCCATTTTAGAATCCATTCTCGTCACAACCATTACCCAGAAACCAATGCTCTGATACCACTTGATAGAACACCGACCTGTAATTCACCAAATAACACAAGAAAAATCTATCCAATACCAATTCACAATCAATAATCACAGTCAAGAAAAGGAAATAACTCTCTATATTGACGTTAAAATAGAACAGTACATCCAGAGATCATGTTCTACCATCTACCCAGTGAACAAGCAACAAATAGGAACAATTCTAAGTACATCAAAAAAAAATAAAGATAAGACTGAACTTCGAGGGTCAGTCACCTCCCCTTCCAAACCTCAACCTTCTTTTCTGAATATCCTCAATTCCTTCTCTCCCTCACTTTTATTCCCTGACACCTTTTTGCTCCTAACCGAATTCTTCTTCCATCCAATCTCATTAGGCCACCTGTCTTCCCAAAAACAAGTCCTAACCTCATGCATAGCAAATATTCCTCTACTTCTCACCTCTACCCTTCCTACTATAGACCGGCCTCCCAAGTTGCTCATCAACCACAAACCAAAATTTGGTATGAAGCTTAATTTCAAAACACTGAAAGAAGTTTTCTTCTCGTAATTTAATGTCTATTATTCATAAATTCATGTATAATTGTTCACATTATTTTTTCCAATATTTCAAAAGTAATGCATGATGATAAAGTGAATTTACTGTTTCTATCACTCATTAAGTAAAAAGATTTCAATCTATTACCTCTACAAGGTAATAATGGTAAAGGGTCACAAAAATCACACTGAGGGATTACTGCCATCTAATGTCAGAAGAACTTTGTATAATTGTGGACGTCGATCACGAAATACTCCCCAACTACATCTCTTGGATTTAATTTTATCAAGATCAAATTGTGCTACAAGAACTGCTTCCTCTTTATCATCAGCAGTGGCAACAATTTCTCCAGTTGGTCCTGTCACCAAAGTAAAATATATAACAGATTCACAACATGCACAAGTTTGTCATGTATGACTAAATAGCAAGCTAATAGAAGAACTAAGTACCTGCTATAAAGGAATTCCCATAGAATGTAATTTTACTGTTACCATGCTCAGTCTCAATTATTTCTGTCCCAATGCGATTTGAAGCCACTAGAGGTACCTGAATCAGTCAAGTCTAGGTCAATCTCCTTTGCAAATATTGTCATTTTTCAAAACAAACTCATATACTTAGAGGCACAACAGGCATTGACATCTAACCACTGAAATATTGGCAACTGGAGTTCATATAAGCAAGGAACATTATAAGATAGACAAATGCAAGGACCGAGGATAATCCTGTGGGAATGGTACGGGCACAATAAATAATAAAAATACATCCATATTTTTATTAAATCGTGAACACCATTAAACGGATAAGAGTTGGCAAGTATTCATATGAGATGGGACTACATATTATCAAATTTCTACTCTTCAGTAAGGCTCACAATCGTAGGATAAAGATGGCAAGCTAACCTGGAATAAACTAGATCAATTTCACTACTAAACCAATGTTGCCGGCCAAGTAGTCTACATAACTTACCACATTAGCCCCAGCATGCCCTTGCATCACTCGTTTCCAGTGATCACAAGAATCAAGCCCATCATCTTGAGGTTCAGAACCGATAGCGGTAGGGTAAAACAATATCTCAGCACCTTGCAGAACCATGGCTCGGGCTGCCTCCGGAAACCACTGATCCCAGCATATTGCTAGCATAAAAAGGAAGTAGTTATTAGCTTTTGTCTAACTTCACTTCTCATTGAATAAGATGAAACAAAACAATAGTGACCATAAAGAAAACATCAAATTTGCAAAAGCCACTTGTTTGATACACCATCCTTTGGGTTTACCCAATCTTAGTTCATTCATAGTCTACCTTAGATCATTTGCTAATCAAAAACCACCCTTGAACCCTAATGCTGTCCAAGTATGTTAACATGACATGGGCAATCTCGTAAATGCGCATGGAGGATTTTATTTTAAACCCTATATGAACTTCACTAACCCAACTGTTTTTCCTCTCCTATCTTCGACCACTGCCTCAAAGATGACCACCAACATAAACTTAGAATCCCATAACCATTTGCATTAAAACCCATACAAAAAAAACCCACTGCATAAAATAGATAAAGTTACAAAGCTTGTCTGGCAGTTCCTGTATTTGACAGATTTGGTTCTAGTGGTTTATGTTTGTTATAGTTATAAATCCTTTTTGTTAATGGTTTCTTGTTCCAGTATATTTTCCTTCTCTTTTCCTGAGTTTACTTTGAATTGATTCCCGTTAACTCTCTTTTGGGAATATAGTTCTGTAAAGGCCGATCAAAACTGCCTATATGGCAAGAACACTGGTTTCTGAAGCTAATATATGTCTACTTGTATAAAACTCCTGTTTTCTGATGAATGTTGGTTAAAGATCGGCAGTCATCAAGTTTGGCTCCATTAAATTGAAGTCAAGGTTTACAATAAACCTTATGAAAGGTAACTTGAAATGCACCTGTCTCACTATATATGACTAACTTCTCCAGTATACCATGGAATTCCCTTCTTACTAATAGCTATACCCAACCTGTTGGGCAAGGGAAATGATGAAACCATATGATGGCTAAGGCTAACCTAATGTTCATGCCAGCCAGACAATCTTCTAAAATTTCACAAATGCAGAGACATTTAATTAAAGTGGTGCAAGAGAATTAGATGTTTATATTTCAAGCTTGATTGTGGTTATTGATTGTAACAAAAAAAAAAAAAAAAACACATATGAGCATTTCTAGCATTTACAAGCTTAATTGCCGTAGTAATCATGATGAAAATTTGGGGGGACATAAGTAATTTAAACATAATATCCTTAAATTATTCATCACTCTGCAAAATTAGCGTAAGTGAAGGAAAAATGATATTTTCACAAATATTTCTACCTCTAAAGTAAAGAATTGGAAAGCATAAGGGCTCACGTGGTTTTTTATTAAAACTATCATAATTCCCATCTGAGTGATTATTAGCAAAAGTTTCGGTGTAGTTTATGAAATCTTTCCCTTTTTTTCTTTTGTTGATGATAGGAATCATTCATCTACTTAAAATTTACAAGCATGTCCCAACAAAATTTAAAATATTAATAAAATACAAAATCTAATAAATATACTGAAATTCAATAAAAATGCTTACCCACTCCAATTTTTGCGAATTTAGTTTGGAAAACCTGTTCATCAATACCACTAGTAAGTAAACTTGTTAAGGCAACTGACCACGTGAAAACTACAGAAGAGCATCAAGCTTATGATGAAATTATGCTAAGTACCAACCTTAAACCCAGTGTCCCCAGGATTAAAGTAGAACTTTTCCTGATACCCTGAAAAGGTAGGGAAAGTACCCCAGATTTTAAAATCACAAAAAAGACAAATCATAGCAGATTCAAGCAACAAAGCATCCCTTTTAGATACCTGGTCCATCTGGGATATGGGACTTCCTATAAAGTCCAAGATCGGTTCCATCAGCATCGATAATAGCAATTGAATTGTAATGGGCAGTGTTTGCCTCTTCAAAGAAGCTAACTGGTATCACTACGCCCAACTCTTTTGCAAGCTTCTGCATTCTGGACAATGACAATGTACACATATTTTAAAGAATTTTAACTGAATTGAGTCTGAAGCAGATGAAGTTCCACTTAAAAGATGTTTAATTACACTAGTGGCTGATTAATAGCCACTGTCTTAATTGGCAAGAGTTTGAAGGATCCAGCCAAACAAGCTAAATTATTTACCTGAGAATTGTAGGGTGTCCCTTATAAGGCTTAGCTCGCTGAAAGAAATCTTCCCTTTGTGCTTGACAGAAATAATAACCCTCAAAGAGTTCCTAAAGACAAACATAGGAAGAACAGCATGTAAGCTTAAGCAATATCTCGATAAAAGGTTTTGGAAATTAGAGTCACAAGAAAAAGTCATGTGCATCATCTCCTCAAGTTTACGACAAAAAACCAACAGATGCTACCATCAATTACAATACTGAAGCATAAATTCAAACCTAATAGAATAAAGGATTCCTCCCTTTATCATCGATGCTCAATAAATCTAATTACTATTGATGATCCAGGTTCTTTAATATTATTTTTTTTTTTTTGGTGAAAAATGACTCTTCCACCATCTATTGAAGGCAGAAAAAAGATCCGAAACCAGCTCAGCAGCCGAAATTAGATCTCCATCAATCACGTTGCAACTATATGAAATTACGAATGTTGACATCATTTCTAAAAATTGCATTTTTTGCATTGAAACATCCATTGCAATCCCTTCCACATTTCAGTGGACCAAATGTTAATGATAAACTTTCTGAAAATCGTATGTATTGGATGAGATGCTTACTTGCAATCTTGACTGACAAACAGCATAAATATACTTGTCCCCTCAACAATATAAATAGGCTCTGGTATCTTCCTCTCAGAAGAAAATAAGGTATTGCAATGAAGCAAGGGCGTGCCAACTTCAACCTTGCAGTTAGTAAATTTATGTGGCTACATAGAAACTTTGAAAAGCTAGAGGGAAAATTTCCTTAAGTTTAATAGCTTCAAGTATCGCCAGGGAAAACAGGAATATAGGTGGCACTTTTTACAGTATTAAAACTTTCTATGTAGCACCGTGACATTACCACCAGTAATCCCCTCAGATTAATTTCCACAATAGGAACAAAGCCATCCAAAAAATGGTGCTTCATCTTTTCACCAATTCCACACATTCTCCCAACATCCCTTCCAAGATGGTCTTCCTACCACAGCTTGCTCCATTGAGATGATATCAAAAAGCACTATATAGGGCTGATTAGTTAGTCCAAACTGTAAGTCTGTTAGAAGTCCATTACAACATCCATAATGCACTGACTTCTTTTAGATCCACCCAAGAACAAGGAATGCCACCAAAGGCCAACCATAGATAAATAATCACTTTGAATGCCCACAAGAACTGATTAGCAGTCCACACAAAATTCACAGCAGCCCCTATAGCTGTTTTTAAAAATTTTCATTTTTTGGTTGGGAAAAAATTCAACAATTACGAAATAATTGAGTTTTCTCCACCCATCTTGACTTTTATCACCAGTATCTCTTTCTTTTTTAAATTACCTAACCTTGTTTGAAGACAACATTGCTCCAGAAATTTTCAATAAACATAAAAAATAAATAAAAATTTAGCAAGCAAAAGAACCTATCCAAAAACTCTCAAGTTGAGACCTATATGGCACGACTGTTCAAAGATGAAGGATAAATATATCAAATAGTTTAAACTCTCTACACCAACTCAAGGTAATGTATTCACAAGTAAGCCTCCTTTTACTTCTAAAATCTAGAATTTAGCAAATAAATGAGTTGTTTTTTAGTTACAGGACAGAATAATGAGTTAATAAGTGTGTAAGAAATCAGAAAAGCAAATAAATTAAAACATGATGCAAATTCAAAGATACCTCCAGTGTGCGTGCGTCCATGAAATGGAGCCTAAAGGCAAAGGAAGCAATATATATACTCTGATATGAACAATACATGATTAAAATAAAGAGCAGTTACCTGAATAAGGATGATGTTTGCACCCTTTGCATGAGCAGCTCTAACCAACCTGCAGAGATGGAAGGTTAATCCGAATACTAAGTGCAATAGTACAAAATAAATAAATAATAATAATAAAAGAGGCCAGATAAGTCATGCTTAATCATTTCCAGGAATGAATTTCACCTAAAAGAAACGTGAGTGCTTGGGTGATATTTGAAGACAAACTTAAACTTTTTCAGAGAATTAATCAAATGAAACCCACCTTGAGGCAAGTAGCAGGCAATCATAGAACAGCGGAAATTTAAGAAAATAATGAAAGCATCCTACGAAAGTATCATATTTGAGTTAGAAAAGCGAAAGAAAGGAAAAGGACCTTTCAGCAGTGGCAACATTAGTGGAGACATCATCGGTGCAAGCAAACTGCAGAGCTGAAACCACCACTTCACCTCTCCTTCCATTCTCCATTTCTACTTTCTTGACGAGAATTCAAAACTCAGATGTGAAGAAGTGGTGGTTGTTGACCTTTTTCCCCAACTCACCGTCAATGTGGTTCTTGTCTGTAGATTTTATTTTCTGGGACAAAAACAACTTTGGGATTTTTGTGGATTTTGGTGTAGGTTACCATCACGGGAAGGGTTTTAAAAATTTTACCACTCCAATTATCATCCCAATTTTATCACATAAAAAAGGAAAAAAAAATAGCCCTCTCTTCAGATTATGTATATTAATCCGTTTAAGGTATATTATAATTTTGATTTAAACTAAAAAATAAAAAGTTCATCTTAAACGTTTAGTAGTGATGCTGGTAACTTTATTCCATTGGTTTACAAGGTCATAATTAATTAGTGAAGTGAATAAATAATGTTATATAATAATTTGTATATATGAATTTATATACTGTGTTTAAAATAAATGGCTTGCTATCCCACCACAAAACTAAATGCAATTTGATTATGTTGTAACTATAAAATGCAATGGAACTTGGAGGATGCTCAGTTCTTATAAAGCTAAAACAAAAACCCATTTTCTGGAACACCATTGCCAGACTCAGGATATAAGCAAATTGAAGAAAACTATAATCTGTCGAAATAAGCAGAGAATAACAAACAAAATGGAGACAATACATGAAGTAGTTTGATTTATTCTAATTACTACATGAATTCAGTGAGATGTGATAGTCATGGGAGCTATCGTCCATTGTTCTCATATTCATCACATGCATGTCATTCTCAGTCCTGAACTTCCTCTTCCTTCTTCCCGCGTGATTTGAGATACCATCCCAGAGCACCAAGACCAGTTACAGTACCTGCCACAACTGCATAGTTTCTGTATTTGTCAGTTGATACTTTCTCGGTTGATGCTCCAGCAGTTGGGGCCGAGCCACTTGGTTTGGCATCACCTCCACCCCCTGAGGTAGTAGCTGGTTTCTCTTCTGGCTTGGGTCCCTGAAATTATGATTCATAAAGCATAGGTTTTGGCTATTACCATTCTACCACAAGCTCATAAAATTTCCGAGAAAAAAATATATATATATATTAATTGGCAAAGCAGTCCAACATGTTTTCTAGATTGATCTTACAGACAGAGGAAGCTCAGAATTACTAAACACCTCAACGACGACATGATCTGGACTGTTGTGCACAGGGAATTTTACATAGATTTTACCAAAATAAGTTTCCAAATGAGGAGCCTAATCCAATCTATCTACCGAATTAAAGAGTTAAACATGGACAAAGACACTCCTAAAAGCTCTAGAGAGTAAAGAGCTTCGATAAACATGGCAAATACACTTGTTTGTGCATCAAGATTCTACAAAAAAATTTCTCTTTTCTATAAAAACCCTAAACTAATGTTACAAAAAGCGCTCAAGCAGTCATAACATCTATCTTGATGAAGCTTGCAACCAAAAGCTTTTACTGAGTGCTCAAACACTAGAACATTCTAAAAATTGGCATATAACCTATTGAGCCCTCAAAATAGACCATTAAATGCAAAAACTGGATCATACCTTTTGTGCCAGCTTCTCCAATTTCGCTTGTTCAGTTTTCTGCAATATTACAAATATTTATGAAACAGCGTCCAAAAGAATCACCGCAATATATACAAGCAAATATTTCAAACTATAATACATATTCTTGTCACTCACAAAAATATTGATAAAGCAAGCACATGTTGTCTTAAAGAATCAACTATAAAAGTCTAACTCAGGATAAAAGTATAATAACACTGTCTCATCCACATACATAATTTTCATGTTTTGTGGTTCCTGCATACCAATACTAGTATCTACTATTAAGGATTATTCAGTGAATTTGAGCAAGTCGCCATTCTAACACAATAGAACACCATAAAGTAGGAAAAATATACATGTACGTGTTTATTGATTTTATTTTTTATTTTTTGATAAGAAACATAAAGCACAACTTATTACAGCAGGTATCTTGATAAGCTGATGCCAAGACCCTGAGTTACAGTGAATTCCAGGTAAAACTTAAGTTTGCACCCATGTATTTACCTACTTACAGGATGCCCAGTTAAAAAGGGAGAGAGAATCATCACTTTGATACAAAAGAATGACACTGAATGCAATGTCCTCTCTAAATGTGCTTACACACAGACACAAAATGCAATGTCCTCTGTAAATGTGCATACACACAGACACACACACAGAAAGCTTAAGTGTATGCATCAAAGATAATATGTACATTACCTTGATGTAAACATTTTCTGCAGCTTTTTCCTCCTCACTAAGAACTTTGCCACCGCTAGAGAATCTTCGGGAAACATATCTTGCAAAATTCCTTGTTGCCATGATAGCTAATTATATAGTCCCTGTAAGTAGAACAATGGACAATGAGCTTCCAAAACAACCGTAAAACTTGATCAACTAATGAAATTAGTCCAAAACTCTAAAAGAGAGAATGTAGTTTTGTAACTACAGAAGGAAAAGAAAGAAAAAAAATCTCCCCAGATCACATATCTGGCTCATTTCATATACTTGCTGACTGCCAAATTGGCGGCTTATCAACCCTGTCCAAACTCTAAAAAGCAGAATGTGGCTTTGTAACGACACAAGGGAAAGAGAAAAACATTTCTCCAATTCAAACATCTGGCTCATTTCACAAACTTTTCAACTGAAAACTTGGTGGCAATCAACAAGAATATTACACCTTGCTAAAATAAAACATCGTTTATTTCTTTAAAGCTCATAATAAACCAGCCCCCAAAAGCAACACATAACATCAATTCATCAGCTGTCCTATAACAACAGAAGGGAATGCAGCTTCTGATGGCCATTAATATATAATTCTAGCTAAACCATGAAATCATTTTTGCACTCATGTATGCTGTATATCTGTACAAACCTACAATATATCAGTCTGCCAATGAGTTCATTGATAAAGCAAACAAATAAAAAAACAACAACAATAATAATACTAATAATGAGATGAATCCTTCACAGGTCAACCCCAATTCCTAATTTCCAAATTGAATGTCTCTAAAATTATACACATGAAAAACAGTAGAATAACTACCTTCACATTGTATTGGTATTTCCAGAGATAACAAAATTTCAAAATATGTTTAAATAGCTTCTCCAATAGCTATTCTAATGACCTGACCGAGATTGTATAATAAAAAAGACTATGCTATATCACAAATTCACAATAATTGAATCACATTATATTTGGAGAAATTACATCCAAGCTTATCAAAACTTCAACCAGACGGAGCATTATGAAATTGGGTTAGCTAAATGAGCTACTACATCCAAATAACTAAACCCTAACCCAGCTAATGCTAATGTAAATATCTAAACTCGACCCACAAATAAGAAAAAGCATTAGCAGGATTTTCAATAAATGAAATGATAAACAAATCCATCAATTACATAATAATCATTGTATTAAAAAATTGAAAAATACATCAAAGGAGAACAGAAGAGACTAGAAGCGAAATATAACTCCGATTAACCACTATCAAAAAATCAAGAGTCGGCGACTGGAAAAATTTTCAAGAACATAAAATCTAACAATTTTTAAACGAAAAGAAATTGAGAAAAGAAATAGAAGTAAATTTAATTTTTAAGGTTTAAAGAAATTGAAATGGCTTACTTCGGCAAATGAAGCGGTCCACAGAGCGATGTAGAAATGAAATGGTGAGATTTTTTAGCTTAGTTTCCTAGTTGTATAGGGTTTGATGGGGGTTTTAAAGCGGACCCAATGGATATGATTTACGGGAAAGAAGATGCCCACCGAGTGATTCAAGAAAGAAATCGTTAGGATAAATTAAATAAATAAGAATAAGTAAAAGTCAATTTTTAATATTAATCTTAAGTTTGTAAAAATTTATATAACAAAAAATTAGAGTAATTATAATGGGATTGAATAAAATCTGCCTTTAAATTATAAAAAGCTTAATTAATTTGACATCTAAACTCTAATTAGTTTTTAATTTTAAATATTTTAAGATAAGTGAATATTGATATTGATATTTAATTTTTTAAAATAAAAAGAAAATCGTAAAGCCACTAAAGTTAGCTTGTGATGATATAGGATGCATGAATATTAAACGTGTCAAATGCATACACATTTAAGATAAGTGAATATTGATATTCATACACATTTAAGAATATATCATTATTACATCAAATGCATGATACATGACAGTTGCAATTGCATAATATGCGTGAAAGTTCACATTTGTCCCTACTGCATGAATATTAAACATGTAGCAGATTCATAGAAATTAGGAAATTATAATTAAGATTCTTAAATATGTTTCTTGGTTTTGCTTTGTTTTTCAGATTCTTGAGATTGCATTTAAGAATGAAACGGTTGGCTTGAGTAATAGTATTATTGAGGAGGGTTTTCTGTCTCTTACTTAGAACTGTTTTGTATTGTTGGAACTATTGACATAGTTATGTAAATTATGTTTAAATGGAGGGTCAATATTCAGAATAATATTGAACAAGTAAATTAAATTTTTTGTTTTCATTTTGCATATTTGTTCATTTCATTTGGGTAGAGATTGCAAATCAAGTAATAGTCAAGAGGAGATGGTTTTCTTTTGATTATGGTAGAAATTACTAAAAACATTAGTATTAGTGTAATATAAGGCAATAGAATATAGGTATAGTATTTGCAGATCGTACAAGCAAGTTGAGTAACAACAACAAAAAAAAAAAAAAAAAAAAAAACTCAACGGGTAGAAACAGAAAAACTAGTTAACAAGGCTATTTTTCTGACAAAAAGTAACGATAAGGAAATAAGAAGGTTGTTGGCTTAATCAATAAAATATCATTTCAACAACTTTCATTTGTGCCAGTAAAAAACACAATTGAACAATTTTAATTAGCACAAAAACAAAAATGGTTTCCTCCATCAAAATAACAAGCATGAAGATCAAAATTTATGGGGAAAAATTAGACTCATCAGCATAACGGTTTCCTAACGTAAAAGATGGAAACAACCTATCTATCCATGACACAGTGAGAATATGGTTTTCTTCCTCTAGGTATTGGTGGCTCTTGTGTAAATCTGCTGGCTAGCATGAGCTGATATCATCCGGATAGAACCTCTTGCCATCAAATCATTAATTGCACAACGTGCCAATGACCCATTGATCTGATAATGGAGAAAAAATAACAAACAAACATCATGCCAACTCTTAATGAATTGTCTAACTCCATAATTAATCAAAAATGCATATGCACTCAAGTGGATATTAGTATTGATCAAGGACTAACATTGCACCTCAAAATTTCTTAAACAAAATAGGTGTAATTTAATCAGAAAAGACAGAACACAAAAATAGCATAGCATATGAAAAAGAAATTGCCCTCAGATCTCATAGCTTAGAATAGATCATACATGGTATACACTAGTGGCACTAATCAGAACCTTTACACACCACCAAAGAGGTACACACTAACACACACAACACACACACACATAGTAATAAGAGAGAGAGAGAGAGAGAGAGAGTGGTGGCATGTAAAGCTTATGAATACGAAACACAACCATTTAATACTGTTGATTTGTCCATCATTGGGCAAAATAGTGATGCTTGATACAGAATATAATCAACCAACAGAAAAAATAAAATAAAATCAACAACAATACATAAATGAAGGGTAAGAAAAAATAAAATGGTACAGTTCTATAAAGATGCAATAGTAAGAAAAAATAAAATAGTACAGTTCTATAAAGATGCAATAGTCATATCGCATTTAACATATATAGCAATGGAGCGCAGATCCAATTTTGGACCCATGCCCTCAAAGCTAGAATGACATTTTCATAAGCCAATAACCAAATTTATGGGTTGCATATCAAGCATGTGGGGCCAATTTTTGGACATATGCAACTGAAACATCGCTAGATATATGTTTTCACCATAAGCAAAATCATGGTATCAAATTGAAAGAACAAAAAAGTAAACCAGTCTAGAAGCACACTCATTTTGTAGGGAAACCACAGTTGAACAGAAACCAAATATGGGAATTCAATTACACACCACTTATTCCATTTCCCTTCCATCATTCTTTTCCCCTCCCATTTCCTTTTCCACCAACCAAAATTATAGCCTTTCACAATGCCAATAGTTAAAACACATGATGTTAAGGCATAAAAAACATTCTCCTATATCAGCATTAACTTTATTTATGTTATTCGATATAGAACCTTCTGTAATAACAATAAATCTTTGGATAAGATGTAATAAGCTAGACATTTGAGAAAATCAAGGCTAATTGAAAATATATAATAATATTCCAGATAGCTTCACATAAAGTTGCAAACTATTAATTTACTATGCAATATTTAATGTTCTAAATCTAACAAGTGAAACAATCACCAAAAATAAATCAAGTCTAAAATTATATAAGCTAAGTGCGTACTCTCAGTCTGTCAGATAGGATTGAAGGAGTAACAAGCTTGTACTTGGGAACCTCCAAAAGAAGCTTGTCATACGTTGCCTGGTCAAAAAAAACCATGTTGTTCACCTTCTCCTTTTGCTTTCCCTTGCTCCATTTCTGCAATCCATCAAGCAGAATAAATTGTCCACCCATATTCATATAACACAACATATTCATGAAAATGACTAATAACCTGAAAACTACAAACTGAACTCAATAAATCAAAATCCATAGACTAATTTACCTTCTTCTTCTGCTTCCCTCCACCAGACTTCGCAGGCTTTGAGGATGGAGGAGGGGCCTTATCCTTCTTCGGTGCCTGCCACGATAATATGAACACAATTTTTTTTCATTTCAAGAAAAAAATGACATGCTAACACTTAAGAAATTAAATCAAATCCACTCAAAAACATCAGCTTCAGCTTTCTCATTTTCCCTTTCAAAAATAAAAATTAAGTTACAAGTTCATGTTGAGAAAAGAAATAAATATTGAAAACAGTAAATATCTCAGACATAAATCATAGTCACCTGGGGGCACTAAGAAAAACCTATAAGCAATTAATTACACTGAGCTAATCTAGTTACAGTAGCTAACAAATCTAAAAGCAATATCAGATAATTATCTCATTTTCTCTGTTTAATTACTAAGAAAAGACATGAAAAAAGAAAATAGAAATTATTTGGTCACTTAGAAAAATTTTGGATGAGATGAAGTACTAAACAATGGAGTAAACATTAGCTAATAGATACCCAATCTACTAAACAGGATCATATTTTTCTCATTTTATTTGCGTGAGATTTTTTCAGACACCACACAGAAGGCGAAGGACTTGAAGATGGATTACCATTATGCTTGGTGTAGTCGCAGGAGAAGTCTGGAGTGAAGAAGGAGATGCGGCAGCACAGAAGAAAATACTGGAGCAAAGCAAAATATAAGGTTTGGCGTGCTAGGGTTTTGACTTATTTTGACTAACGTGCGCATATAGTGTTGTGTACTTCCGTAGTTAGAGTGTTTACTGTTTAGACATGTATTGATAATATTTTCTACAATAAAGCCAGGGACACCGAAAAACCTGTATCAAAATTGTGTACCAGTCTATCTGTAATACACCTTTGAGTGTTTTAATAATTTTTTTCTAGTAAATAGTCGTCCATCAAATTTGGATGATCGTTCACTCATATGGATAATATGGACGGATGGATATGGACGGGGGTCTATATACTAGGGATAGGTATCCCCATTTAAAGAACGCCCGTTCATAAATAAAATGAAATAAATTTTTTTTATAAAAATTAGGGATGGTCGTTCATCCGTTATGGACGACCGTTCTTTCATTTTAGATGAACGTCAGTAAATAAGAGACGTCCGTTCTTAAAATAAAAAAATTTGGAGACCACCATCCATAAATTTTGGACAGCCGTCCTTAAGTTTGGACGGGACGGCTCCTTAAGTTTGGACAGGCGTCCATACTTTAAAAAAAAAAAAAAAAAAAAACATTCTAAACAGTAAACACCTCTTCTTCTTCGCCATCTCCTCTCTTTTTCTTCGTCTTCATTCCCCATCTTCTTCGCCTTCTGAATTGCTTGGGAACCCATTCTTCGACATCAAATGCACCTGAAAAATTCAAGTTCATATGGTTTCCTTAGATAAAGAATCTACTTCCTCTATAATAAGCAGCATGGAATTCTTATTAGCATATCTCAGAGATATTGTCCATGGAAATGGACTTGCAATTAAGGACCAGTAGCCCCAACTTTATCTTATCACATATAACAGAGTGAGACATGGATGCTAACTGGTGTCAGAGGTTAGATAGGTTAATGCAATTCAAGATCATCAGCACCATGATCCAAGTAAACATCACAGACTCCCTCCGTCACCTTTTCTGGAAATGTTTGAGCAAATCTTTTATTTTGCTCTGCAAAGTGTTTCAGTTTAGCCTCATGCTCCATTCGTCTTTGATACTCCAAGGTTTCTTCAAGCTTTCTTTCCTCAGCTTCAAGCTCAATTTTACGTCTAAATTCCTCTTCCAGAAGTTTTAAGTCATCACCATTCACAGAAACACCAGTCTCTGAATCTGGATGATCACCATCAGATTCTGGATACGAACTGCACTAAGCCATGAATTCAATATATTAACAATAAACCCCCTCCCAGTATAGCATCTATTTACAAAAAATGGTGGCATGTAATAGAAAGAGTGAGGGCATATGTGCAAAGAAAGAGCAAAAGGAAGACATACACCCGCTCAGACGTCTCATCATGAACCATATCATGTTGATTACCACCAACGACTGAAAAATACGAAAATATTAGACTTGCATCATGGATTTTGTACGTACAAACAAAAGAAAACCACAAACTTGAAACCTTTAAATCCTTGGTTTTCCTGAAATCTTTGTTTCTTTTTTTATCCTTCGTCTTATCAAGTGTATGCTTCGAGTTATCACTACCTCCTCGGGCACCCTTCTTAGAATCAAGTGCAAGTTCTGCCAAAAATGCTTCCCTTGCAGCATCAGACTTCTCTGTGGCATCTTTCTCTGTGTTATCAAGTACTTATCATTTCAAGTCTTATATTGTTTCATCTTCTGTTGATTCTAGTGTGGAAGGAAATCCGGATATTGTTGTTACAGTTTTATACAAAGAAAAGAACAAGTTTATTTTTCCATCAGTAGCAGCAGTCGTTTCAACTTCTGTCCTTGCAACTGCAATGGCTATTTTATGGGGATTTAAGAGAAGGAAAGAAGGTATGAACACCGCTAACCTTATATATTGACTCAGAAATAAGAATTTCTAGCACTGCATGTGCACACAGAGAATTGCCAAAGGTATCTCAAGCTGTAAGGAGGAAATCTGAGAGGACTAGTATACACTAACTCGTCCACGAAACAGTTTTTATTATATTTATTTTCTTTTCTTAATCAAGTCAGAATCATTAAATCTTATATTTATGTTCAATGAAATGAGAAACTAATTTTTTTATTTTTTTTTTAATTGCAGTAGAGAAATGGTGGTTATCGTTGATTATATTAGGAGCAGCTCTATTGGTTCCCCTGTTCTGCTACTTATGCTATTCGGTATGGAAAAAACGCAAGGCTAAAGGTATGACCAGCTGGAAAAAACAAATATGATTATAAATTCCGAATCATGCATGGTGATTAGAATGGGTTCCCATGCAATTTAGAAGGCGAAGAAGATGGGGAATGAAGACGAAGAAAAAGAGAGGAGATGGCGAAGAAGAAGAGGTGTTTACTGTTTAGAATTTTTTTTTTTTTTTTTAAAATATGGACGGGCGTACATTAGGAATGGACACCGTCCAAACTTAAGAGACGGCCGTTCAAAATTTATGAACGGTCGTCTCCAAATTTTTTTCTCTTTTTATTTTTATATTTTAGTTAAGGACGGGCGTCCCTTATTTACGGACACCTGTCCAAAATGAAGGGACGGCCGTCCATAACGGATGAACGACCGTCCCTAATTTTTATAAAAAAAATTTATTCTATTTTACTTATGGACGAACGTCCTTTAAATGGGAACGTCCGTTCTTGGTATATGGATCCCATCCATATAATATGGACGGGCGTCCATGTGAGTGAACGGCCGTTCAAATTTGATGAACGGCCGTTCACTAGAAAAAAATTATTAAAAAACTCAAAGGTATATTACACGTAGGGTGATATATAATTTCGGTGCAGGTTTTTCGGTGTCCCTATCTTTATTGATATTTTCACTCCTTTTTCAAAATTTTCGTAATAAGGTTAATGACGTTAATCCCGTAGATATGATAAAAAGACAAAAATTTGGAGCTTTTCGAAATAATATTCTTCTGCTCTTAACTTTTAACGTTAAAATAAACGGTGAAAAAATAATTTAATAATATTTACAAACTCATAACTTTGTAAATTTTAACGACTCATTTATTCATTTAATAGTATATTAACGGAATGAAATTTTTTGTAATTTTATCATATCTTAGAGGTCTATTTAACCTTTTTTAAATAACTTTTTATTTTACATATATAAAATATATATAGAATATTTACTTATCTTGAAAATTGATACATATATTATGAAGAACTATTTTAGTTATAATTAATATATGTTATACTGTTTTGGTATACATGTGATTTGTTTTTTGTTTATAATTTTTCCCAATAGTTAAATACAACAGCTTTTGAATTATTATAAACAAAAAATAAATCACATGCTTTATATATCTTTTAGGTTTTGATCTTTTTTTTTTTTTTTTTTTTGGGATAGGTTGTATTTGACTATTGTGAAAAGATTTCACTCTAAATATATGGCTTATTTATACATTGCAACCAGAATTTCATCATCTATATAAAATATAGAATTGTATTAAGATCATAAGAACACTGTTACAAATTTAATTATAAATTATATTTGTCCATAATAACTAATCAATTTTTTTTGTATATCAGTATTATTTAATAACTAATCAAATACATGTCAATTTTCATATAACTAATCAAATATATAATCAATTTTCATATATAATTAAACCTATAATAATATATACACAATTGTAACTAAATATTAAACTTTTATTTTGTACAATAGAAATAGAATCAAGATAACAATAAACGTGACTTTATTTACTAGAACCATCAACATATTTTTCACCTTTATTTATAAAAAAAAAAAGCTCTTGATTGACATAAAATTTAATAATAATCTTTGGCAAGATAACAATATTCACTACAAAACTAATTACAAAGTTGTCATGGTTTTCATTTTGAATAATACTACACATACAACATTCTCATACAACATTTCTCATATAAAATTATGCTATAAAAGATGATTGGATGAAAGTTTAATTTTAATTTAAAATCAGCTAATCATATTTTACTACATAATGTTGTAAGAGAAATGTTGTATGTGTAGTATTACTCTTTCATTTTTTAGACCTTCAAGGCTTTTGATTTAAAGGTTTATTCACTTCATTATTTATTATAAAAATAAATTTGCATTTTAGTCCCTTGTTTTATTTTCAATTTTTGTTCTCCACCCTCAAGTATCAAATGGACCAATTACATTACCTTTATACGGTAATAGTCGCATACAATATACAAAAAAAAGTTTCATTATAATTGCATGATAATTGTAGATGCTAAAATCTACGATTGCGGAAGTAGGGTCTGATCCTATAAAGTTGAGGCCATTGACAATCCGCTGCACCTGCACACAAAGCAAACAAGCATGAAGCTTACGTAGACACCAGTGTGATGTTTACTGTAAGCACTCCGACGCCCAAGTTAGTAAGGCTGAACGAGAAATTTAGTGAGGGTAAGGGAAGAAAGGGTTACCAGAGGTTAAGTCGAAGAATAGAACCACATCGTAGGTGTATAGCTCTTAGGAGTAAGAGCTTGGGTGCAAGTAGGTGGTATTGAGATTGAATGCCTAAACAAAGGAGTGACCCATGTTTATATAGTAGTTGTAGGATCTTCGTATTCTGATAGGACTCTGAATCCATAAGGAAAGAGGTCTAGTGAATAGGAAAGATCCTGGTTCACTTGACTTATTAGTAATAAGAGTCCTAATTTACTTAAGATACAGAATCTTGGGCGAATTAGGATAGAACCAAACAGAAAGAGTCCTACTTACCTTGGTTTGGAAGGCCCGACCTTAGGTGGGTTATTGGTGTCTCCCATTTTGGAGGAAGGTTGGATTTGGGGCGCACGTCTTGGCCCACGTCATGAGTTCTGATGCTGACCCAACTGAAAAGGGATCATAACCTTCGGTTGTTGTAGTGGAACATGCCTGTTTGGGTCTGATATGGCCCTAGCTGATTTTTTACCCCCATAGTTATCCCCCCACTCTCTAAGCTAAAAAGTATTTAGCTTAGAGAGTAACTGGTTCGAAGGGAGGTTAACCAAGCTGAAAGGCGGTCTACCAGGACAAGTGAGGGTTCCCTTGACTAAGTGAAGATGACTCATCTTGGTGAAAGATGTAAGGTGCCTATGGGTTGTACCTTCGCATTCTTGCATAGCTGCGTCCACTCGGTTAATCGAGTCGAGTGCTAGAATGCGAGGTGCAATCCATGTAACTGTGTCCACTTGGTTGATCGAACCAAGTGCTATGATGTGAGGCCCAATCCTTGTAGTTGTGTCCACTCCGCTAACTAAGTCAAGTGATAGGGTGCGATGAGTGACCCTTTATAGAATTCAGTCGGCCAGTCAAGCTGAATGTCTGTGTGGTCTGTACTTTGAAAGGTAGATCTTGTCTGCTTCTCGAACTGGGAATCAAGTCGGTTTGCTCGGGTGAGTTGAGCTCCATCTGAGTGCGATTGGGTGGCAATGGGAGAGCGGGGCACGTGTATTGTAAGGTTATGTGGACTTTGAGCGGGAAACAAGAGATTGGGATTCCCGAGGTGGTCTTATCGTATGACACGTGTATGATTAGAATCTCCTTTTTCTTTCAAGCGGGAATTTAAAGAGTCATAGCCAATTAGCTACTGTCGCGTGTTATTCTGGCAGTTTAGGTGATTAAAAGGGGGAAACCTTGAGGTGACTATTCATCTTCGTCTTCTTTTCGTTCTCTTTTTCTCTCAAAGTTTTCTTCGATCGCCGTTGAAGTCTTGTCGAGGATTCAACAATTTTTCATGGTAAAATCCCTTCTTCGTCATAGAAATTGATTCTCTTTTCTTTGTTTCTACTTTCCTTTCTTTTTTGAAGTAGTTTTGACAAGTTTGGACAAGAATGGTTTGGTATTTTTTTATTTCTTTGGTTTTGCCTAAAGTTTCTAGAAGTTTGAGTGAGCATTCTTGGATTTGGCTAGACCTCGGGGGATTAGAACTGGTGTTTCTTTTTTCTTTTATTTTTTATTTTTTATTTTTTTTAGGGTAATTTTGGTTAACGTTTTAGGGATTTTGAAAAAAGGTTTAGGGATTTTGGTTTAAGAGCGAAGGGGTCGTTGGGAGAGTATTTGG